TCCTAGTACTGTAGTCACAATACCTCCTAGTACTGTAGTCACAATACCTCCTAGTACTGTAGTCACAATGAGAGTAATTTATGTTTATATTTAAACTGAACCATGTGTAGTGAGATATCTCATAGAGTGACAGTAAGGTGATGTTGTAGCATCAGTCATAAATTACAATGTTCATGGAGACAATTAATTCTTCATAAGTTACAATGTTCATATAGACAATTAATTTTTCATTAATTACAATGTTCATGGAGACAAGTAATTCTTCATAAGTTACAATGTTCATATAGGCAATTAATTTTTCATTAATTACAATGTTAATAGAGACAAGTAATTCTTCGTAAGTTAGGATGTTCATATAGACAATTAATTTTTCATTAATTACAATGTTTATGGAGACAAGTAATTCTTCATAAAATTACAATGTTCATGGAGACAAGTAATTCTTCATAAATTACAATGTTTATATAGACAAGTAATTCTTCATAAATTACAATGTTTATGGAGACAAGTAATTCTTCATAAATTACAATGTTCATAGAGACAAGTAATTCTTAATAAATTACAATGTTTATGGAGACAAGTAATTCTTCATAAAATTACAATGTTCATAGAGACAAGTATTTTTTCATAAATTACAATGTTCATAGAGACAAGTAATTCTTCATAAATTACAATGTTTATGGAGACAAGTAATTCTTCATAAATTACAATGTTCATAGAGACAAGTAATTCTGCATAAATTACAATGTTCATAGAGACTAGTAATTCTTCATAAATAACAATGTTCATAGAGACTAGTAATTCTTCATAAACTACAATGTTCCCGGAGACAAGTAATTCTTCATAAATTACAATGTTCATAGAGAGTAAATCTGTCATAAATTACAATTTTCAGCGAGACAAGTAATTCTTCATTAATTACAATGTTCATGGTTTCGTTATATAAGGACACATTCTGATAACGAAAGGTACTTAAATATATATTTACCGTTACTGTAGCATATACATACACATTCAAAATGAGTTCAACACGAAGAAACTAGTTACAAAATGTGTGGCGGGATATATTGGCTTGGTTAAGTAATGTTGACACTCTAATGGTTGATAAGGTACCACTTAAGAGATGATGCCAACTTCACAATAATTACACAACTTACTGTTCTGTTAATCGTTTATTAAATGCTTTTGGTCATTATTCTGAACACTATCATGTATTGTAAGGTAGCAGATATCCTAACGTAAACACGAGTTCAGAAACTACCACCTGACAAATCAGTGTGTTTACGTATCTGTATTTACGCGCATTGCTACCTCCCCAACTGCCCCGTACACCAAACAAATTATAGAGGGTATGATAGGATTCCTGGTCGCTAAAGTATTTCTTAACGGTCAAAAAAGTCTTCATGTAAATTGTCGATGTGAGAAGGCACTAGCCCACAGTGCGTGTTCCTTGCAAAATAAATTAATCCATGGCCACAGAATGATATCAATGTCTTAATCGACCACTGATGTTATGGAGACGCCTGTACCCTCACAAATATCACTTTGGAGCTTGTGCGTTTTGGTGGAATATTAATACTTTAGCAAACGTCAATGACATATGGTGTGATATCTGTGAAGATGTAGACGGTACTATTAGAAATATATTTGCAAACGTGTTTAACGGATCTGATAACTATCGTTTTGACTCCCTGATACTTCCATTTTCGCTTCTTTTAACTCCGATCGATATTATATCAGGAAAGCAGTCCTGGATCTTTTGGGTGCATTCACAAAGTTCATACATATTTTCTGTGCCATATCAAAATATGATGTTTTTGCAAAAATATGTGCAAGCATTGTAATATTGTAAAATGCATATTTTTCTCTGAACTAGGATTTGGTTTTCAAGGAAACTCGCTGGTTTATTCACATTTTCATTAGGCCATGTCAACGAAACTTTCAATGAGGATCCCAGGTCTAAAAACAAGCAAATCGTAATCGAAGAGTGACAGCAAAATTACTCGATTCCCTATAACAGTGGAGGCTCTAACGTCAGCAGGGCTCATGTCTCGGTGACGTTTATTACATAACTTGCCCACGTTTTCCATCACCGAGCATTTTGAGAGCACACCACTGAATCGCCAGAGAAATACGGTGACGTCACATCCTAAACGTTAATCATGGTAAAGGGTAACCTTGGTTTCAGTTATAATCTAAGAAGCTGAAGCATCAAAAATGAGTTTTTCTGGCTTAAAGAAAATTCCCCTGTCTATAGTTTCATATGCTTTGTGGTCCATAAACAATTATTCCGATGTTGTGATCGTACTGTTCTTGTTTTCTTTGTGATAATTATTTTCAAACATCCACATTTTAAACGATTATCATTTTGTAAAATGCACAGCAACACATTCATTGTATGGACTATTTCTTTTGAAAGGGACTGAAGCAAATATTTTCGAATAGTGAAAATGGAAATTATATAAGTATAACTTGCTGGTACCCTTTACGTTAACACAGGCAGTATATAATAAAAGACCCACGTGTCCCGATAAATTACTTAACTGGCAGTCTCCCCGGATGTTGAATCGACATTAGTTTTACAATGTACATCGAACATGAAGTTTCCAATTCAATGACAGGTGATGTTTATACAAGCCAACATTACAACATCCTCAAACACCTTATGGATATGATAATGAAAATGTTCTTGTTACACAACCAATAAGAGTTTCTATGTGACGTATGTACACTGTCACCTTCATCAGACAAATGACCAGTGAAGCGTATGTACACAAAGCTATAAAATGTGTACGTGTTGTCTACAAATCGATGTCGATTGGTTGTGTAACAAGAAAACTTTCATAATCCATACTTACCAACCTGAGGGAAATGCTTAGAAATACCTTATGTACATGCTTTGATCATTGATAAACACACAAAACAGATCCGTTCAGTGTCTTTAAAACTTAATGAATTTGCAAAATGGATATATTTTCATTTTTCAAGAATTCAACTTCAAAATTTAATTATATTATTTGACTTTTTTTAAGTCAATGTATTATTCGTTTTTTGAACTATCTGTTTTTACTTCATAGTATGTATATACATATTTATTTTTACGTTTGGTTCTTTTTCCAGGTAATTGTTTAAAGAGTAAAATTAACACATATTTTCTAAACAGAACAATTCTATAATACAAATTTAACAAACTGAGCATAAATGCCCGTAAAATGTAGAATGATTCAAAATACATTTTTCCACAAAAGATAATATTATACATCTGTGTGATATATATAACGTCATATGTAAAACATATAAAACTTGATGTATCGAATTATGAATTTAGGACAGTTTCAACATGACTATTTACAGGACTCGCGTATAATGACCCTAAATCTATGCATTAAAAGTTAACTTTATCTTATATAATATTTGGGAATTTGAACGTACTATTTACAAGAGAACTTAAATAACGACCCCGATACTGTTAACACATATATCTGAATGTCGGAGTGATTTTTTAAGTTTAACATAATAACTGTATAAAATATCTTTATTAAAACATTCAATATACGTTCCTCTCAACCGATTTAAAAACACGTTAAGGTTTCTGAAAAAAGCAGAATCCTTATATCAAATCCTGTCCCTGTCTTTCAATATCGTTCCTGTGTCTCATCACCTTTTCTCAGCATATTTCAGATCCAACTGAACAGTTTATACAGCAGTTTGATTTCTAAATTTTGCGGACTGTGAAGAACTCTCACCGATAATAACAGTTATTAAATTACTACGACAAAATGGCCGAACATATTGTTGAAATTTCGTTTAGGTTTACTTGTCGAAGGAAGAGCACATCTTTTCAAAACTATTACATATGTTTTCCTTAGGACGACAAGCTAAGTATAATAGAATAAGTTAAGAAATATGTTAATCGGTTAAATATTTCATACACAATATCAGAAATTGAGAAACCAAATCAAACGTTAAAGTCTTTGTACAGTTTCTGTTCACACCAATTGTAGCTGAGGAAGTGGAGACAATGTCAGCTAGACAATTTGACGAGTCGCTAGCTAACCGCAATCCTTCTCTTCACTTATCACATCATCAATCGTTGACACTCGTCAGTCACCACATACTAAATCCTATCACCACCATTCAAACATTGTTCAGCATTGTCTGTTTGAATAAAAATTCCGATTCACTTGTAAGATTTTGATGTACTTGTCAGAATTTCCTTCACACTGTCACGTTTAGCAGGTGATAACACAACGCATACGGAACCAACATGGCTGGTGTAAGTAACCGCCATGGAGAAGCGAGCGAAAGTCGAGGTCCAGCTTCTGCTCCAGTACTGGGTCTGTCCAATGTGACAGGAAGCTTCCCTCTTATTCCTAATCACCATACTTCACATTTCTTAACTGGATTCATGTAGGACCCGGCCGGACAATTAAACACTTGTGAAAACTCTTTGGAATTCTGCAATGTACCGATCACCCTAGAAAAAAGACATACAGACATGTTAAAGGTATCAAATATTCAAACTTCCAATGATGTTTATGAAATACGTGTTTGATCAGTAGCGGTTTCCCACCTTTTTTTTTTTTTTTTTTCTTTTATGTCATCGGGTATTTGTTTTCAGTGTGTAGAGTCAAGATGATATTTAATTGTTTTAGCCCCAAAGTAGTAGTGCCATACTACAATATGAAAAGATGGGTCCACTTGTAAGAATGACTATACGTGATACTCAGCGAGATCTTACCTAAAGCGGCCAGGGCTGTGGAGTCCTGTCCGGATTCTGTTTACTGCTGCTTCCGGTCTCATTGTGCCGCACCACACCTAGTACAGTCACAGCAACATATGTCGCAAGTAAATAAACGTTACAGACTCGCCTAGTACAGTCACAGCAACATATGTCACAAGTAAATAAACGTAACAGACTCACCTAGTACAGTCACAGCAACATATGTCACAAGTAAATAAACGTTACAGACTCACCTAGTACATAAATAAACAGACTCAGTAAAACCGACGATTGTCCAACACAAGATAACACTATTATTCTTTGTAAATAAAGAACTACTGTGTGCGAAACCCTCTTTCCCGGTCTTAGTTAAATTTTAAAAAAGACTGAAATTCAGAATGGTTTCCGATGGAAGTTTTTCACATGACAGAACTTGAATTATCGTAGAAAACACAACCATGTTCCGGCTATAATCAATGTTCTACCTTTGTGTAAATTAGCCATGAATAAAAAAAACAAAACCAAAAAACAGAGAGCAAATTTACGATTTTCAGTGTTATTTAAAATGTTATGCAAATTAATTACTGAAATATGAGGCAAGGGGGTGCCATTTAAGATTTATTCTGTCAATGAACATAGCCATACAAAGTTAAACATTACTGTACCATGTGGCTGTTTGGTCAACTTAGTACTCATAAGCGGTACTAACGGCCAGCAGCCGATTGCCATGTGTGCGTGATTGGAAACGTTAGCATATGTGCATACACGCGTGTACCTTTACTCAACACAGTAAATTCGTCAATACGCCTAGTATTGTTAACACTTGCACAACTGGCGAAGCTTGTGTAGGAGCGATGTGCGTGCATGCTTTGCTGTACACCTGCACGATTGAACGGCCAATAATACATGATTATTAACCGGCGAGTAAGAATAAAAATGACACTTATTTCGACCCATTTTAGGATTATACTAGTACCCGTTTCTGTCAGAGATCGGGACGACTATTTATTATTTTGAAAAATACCACTTTTTAAAAATACTATTTTTTGAAAATATATATTTTCTGCCAATTTTCCACAACATCAATTTAAACAAGCAATGTGCCTCCGTTATCGTGAGCTGGGATCACTGATTTCACTAAAAGTCTCCCTTTGGTCCCAGAATTTTTTTATCCTATGTAAGCTCTTAAACATTAAGTTGAACTTAAGGAGAAATATTTTTTCCAGAACTACCCGTACCGTCCCTATTCTGTTGAAGAATATTTGGATCCCTTTTTACAGGAAATTCTCTTCAGCGATCCTTAAGTAGTCTTTTGAATAAAAGGAAATGGCAACGGATGCCGCACCACGGTATAAGTCAGTGTGGTCATGCTACCGTGTGTGTTACTGTAACTGCTGACGACATTATATATTTCAAAGCTAGTACAAACCTGAGCGAAGTTGAGAAAGAATAATTGGTGATGATTTAGATGTGTCAGCCCAGGCAGTAGGTCCTCCCTTTTTTCCTGACTTGTTTCCCATTTTGAATATGCCTGCCAACATAACAAGGATTTGTTTGTTATCCCGATTTGTATCTCATAGTACAAATGACTTGCTTCTACAGTCCAATCATAATATGCTTCAACTTTATCTTCCATTACCAAAAGACATTCATTGTTCTACTGTATAAACATTCATCACATCAAAACGTATCTGTTATTTGTAATTAAACCACCGTCAAAAGTAGAAAATGCTATTTCCTTCTGACCAAACCTCCGTCACAATTAGGACATACAATGTATACGTACTTTTAATAAAATCACCATCAAAAGTAAGAAATACATGTACAATGTTCTTTAAATCAAACCTTCGTAAAAAGTAAAATAACATGTAGTGATCTTTAAATCAAACCTTCGTCAAAAGTAAGAAATACATGTACAATGTTCTTCAAATCAAATCTCCGTCAGAAGAAGGACATACAGTGTACCTCTAATCAGCCCTCCTTCAAAAGTAAGAAATACGATGTAGGTTCTCCCTAAAAAGTAGGAAATATATTGTACTTCTAATAAACCCTCCGTTAAAAGTAGGAAATATATTGTACTTCTAATAAACCCTCCGTCAAAAGTAGGAAATATATTGTACTTCTAATAAACCCTCCGTCAAAAGTAGGAAATATATTGTACTTCTAATAAACCCTCCGTCAAAAGTAGGAAATATATTGTACTTCTAATAAACCCTCCGTCAAAAGTAGGAAATATATTGTACTTCTAATAAACCCTCCGTCAAAAGTAGGAAATATATTGTACTTCTAATAAACCCTCCGTCAAAAGTAGGAAATATATTGTACTTCTAATAAACCCTCCGTCAAAAGTAGGAAATATATTGTACTTCTAATAAACCCTCCGTCAAAAGTAGGAAATATATTGTACTTCTAATAAACCCTCCGTCAAAAGTAGGAAATATATTGTACTTCTAATAAACCCTCCGTCAAAAGTAGGAAATATATTGTACTTCTAATAAACCCTCCGTCAAAAGTAGGAAATATATTGTACTTCTAATAAACCCTCCGTCAAAAGTAGGAAATATATTGTACTTCTAATAAACCCTCCGTCAAAAGTAGGAAATATATTGTACTTCTAATAAACCCTCCGTCAAAAGTAGGAAATATATTGTACTTCTAATAAACCCTCCGTCAAAAGTAGGAAATATATTGTACTTCTAATAAACCCTCCGTCAAAAGTAGGAAATATATTGTACTTCTAATAAACCCTCCGTCAAAAGTAGGAAATATATTGTACTTCTAATAAACCCTCCGTCAAAAGTAGGAAATATATTGTACTTCTAATAAACCCTCCGTCAAAAGTAGGAAATATATTGTACTTCTAATAAACCCTCCGTCAAAAGTAGGAAATATATTGTACTTCTAATAAACCCTCCGTCAAAAGTAGGAAATATATTGTACTTCTAATAAACCCTCCGTCAAAAGTAGGAAATATATTGTACTTCTAATAAACCCTCCGTCAAAAGTAGGAAATATATTGTACTTCTAATAAACCCTCCGTCAAAAGTAGGAAATATATTGTACTTCTAATAAACCCTCCGTCAAAAGTAGGAAATATATTGTACTTCTAATAAACCCTCCGTCAAAAGTAGGAAATATATTGTACTTCTAATAAACCCTCCGTCAAAAGTAGGAAATATATTGTACTTCTAATAAACCCTCCGTCAAAAGTAGGAAATATATTGTACTTCTAATAAACCCTCCGTCAAAAGTAGGAAATATATTGTACTTCTAATAAACCCTCCGTCAAAAGTAGGAAATATATTGTACTTCTAATAAACCCTCCGTCAAAAGTAGGAAATATATTGTACTTCTAATAAACCCTCCGTCAAAAGTAGGAAATATATTGTACTTCTAATAAACCCTCCGTCAAAAGTAGGAAATATATTGTACTTCTAATAAACCCTCCGTCAAAAGTAGGAAATATATTGTACTTCTAATAAACCCTCCGTCAAAAGTAGGAAATATATTGTACTTCTAATAAACCCTCCGTCAAAAGTAGGAAATATATTGTACTTCTAATAAACCCTCCGTCAAAAGTAGGAAATATATTGAACACTCTAACAACTTTCACAAACACAACATTATAAGAATGTCTCCCTTAGAAATCTGCTCTCTGTTTTGTGTGATAACGATTCTATATGTTAGTATCCTTTCTGTGTACACCACTGGTCTGATTTAACTGCTTGGGATATCCGTACTGAGAGTCGGTATTAGCGGTGTTTCAACTGTAATTAATTGGCTACTGTCGTATTATGCTAACATATACTCTATATCAGACATGTTTGACCTGAGTCAATCCTACTTGCCCTGTACGCCTCCTTTAATCCTCCGTTGTCTGCGATGTTTTCTCCCTGTGTCTGGATCCCATTCAACTATCAAACCACAAAAAACACTGATAATAAAATAAAAGGTTTTGTATTACATTGTATTCCTGTGCAAAGTTGGTATGGTTATTTCATTGTATTCCTGTACAGAGTTGGTATGGTAATAACATTGTATTTCTGTACAAAGTTGGTATGGTTATTACATTGTTTTCCTGTACAAAGTTGGTATGGGTATTAAATTGTTTTTCTGTACAGAGATGGTATGGTTATTACATTGTTTTCCTGTACAAAGTTTGTATGGTTATTACATTGTATTTCTGTACAAAGTTGGTATGGTCATTGCATTGTATTCCTGTACAAAGATGGTATGGTTATTACATTGTATTCCTTTACAAAGTTGGTATGGGTATTAAATTGTTTTTCTGTACAGAGATGGTATGGTTATTTCATTGTATTCCTGTACAAAGTCGGTATGGTTATTACATTGTATTCCTGTACAGAGATGGTATGGTTATTACATTGTATTTCTGTACAGAGTTGGTATGGTAATAACATTGTATTCCTGTACAAAGTTGGTATGGTTATTTCATTGTATTCCTGTACAAAGTCGTTATGGTTATTACATTGTATTTCTGTACAAAGTCGGTATGGTTATTACATTGTATTTCTGTACAAAGTTGGTATGCTTATTACATTAACACATACATGGAAGGGGGTAGATTGAACATAAAAATATATTATAGCATTGGCCAAAGAGCTACCGTATCCAGCTTATAAAAACATTTCAGCGACCTGAGGTAGATAAATCAATCAAAATAACATCGTCTCCTTTCTGCCGTGTTCACATATGTATTTACATATGACACGCCGTTCAATTCAATCAATATTATTTATCGCTGGTTGCAAATTTGTGAGCTGAAAAGTTAAGTGACTGGAACTCTTCTTCGTGAATTTCAGAGAATTGTCTATATGATAAATGTTTTACAACAAAAAATTGCCCAGTCAAATGTTCTGTAAAACCCATATTCGTCCTGTTTTAATTTCGCCCTTTACATGTAATTGTATTCTCTATCACTATAAGTTCATCCTCATTGCGGAGGACGAAAAAGTCGAAATGACCTCTCATTCAATGTAGTTTTACTGCACCAAGGTTCAAAAATATCCAACAAACAAATAGGAATTAAGGAGGCACGCTTACAAGGTTTCTGGAGCAGACATCTACAGTTTAAAGGACCATAACTCGAGGCAAATATTTAAATTGAAAATTCCTTCCTTCATGTACATCTGTATAGGATGTAGTTCTATTGTGCCAAGTTACAAAAAGTCAAACGAAAAGTTGAAGTTTCACTAGCAGAAAATTACACTTTAAAGGACATTAAATCGAGGAAAAATTAAATAAGTGTAAAATCCTTTCTACATGCACATTAACCGATTATGTGGTTTCACTTTGACAAGATACAAAGAAAATCAAACATTAGTTAAAGAGGAGTTGTGATTACAAGCTTTCTGGAGCCACACAATTAGTTTCAAGGGCTATGCCGCTATATAAGTAACGATAATACCACTATAAAGATAATGATCATACCGCTATGTAAGTAAAAGTCACAGGGCTATATACGTAAGGCTCATACCGCTATATAAGTAAGGCTCATACCGCTATATATAAGTAAGGCTCATACCGCTATATAACAAAGGCTCATACCGCTATATAAGTAAGGCTCATACCGCTATATAAGTAAGGGCTCATACCGCTATATACGTAAGGCTCATACCGCTATATAAGTAAGGACTCATACCGCTATATAGGTAAGGGTCATACCACTATATAAGTAACGCTCATACCGCTATATACCGCTATATACGTAAGGCTCATACCGCTATATAAGTAACGCTCATACCGCTATATACGTAAGGCTCATACCGCTATATAAGTAACGCTCATACCGCTATATACGTAAGGCTCATACCGCTATATAAGTAAGGGCTCATACCGCTATATAAGTAAGGGTCATACCGCTATATAAGTAACACTCATACCGCTATATAAGTAAGGCTCATGCCGCTATATACGTAAGGCTCATACCGCTATATAAGTAAGGCTCATGCCGCTATATACGTAAGGCTCATAATGCTATATAAGAAACGCCGCTCATACCGCTATATAAGTAAGGCTCATACCGCTATATAAGTGAGGCTCATACCGCTATATAACAAAGGCTCATACCGCTATATAAGTAAGGCTCATACCGCTATATAAGTAAGGGTTCATACCGCTATATAAGTAAGGGGCATACCGCTATATAAGGGGCATACCGCTATATAAGTAAGGCTTATACCGCTATATAAGTAAGGGGCCTACCGCTATATAACAAAGGCTCATACCGCTATATAAGTAAGGCTCATACCGCTATATAACAAAGGCTCATACGGCTATATAAGTAACACTCATACGGCTATATACGTAAGTCTCATACCGCTATATAAGTAACACTCATACGGCTATATAAGTAAGGGGCATACTGCTATATACGTAAGGTTCATACCGCTATATAAGTAACACTCATACGGCTATATAAGTAAGGTTCATACCGCTATATAAGTAAGGCTCATACCGCTATATAAGTAAGGGTAATACCGCTATATAAGTAAGGGTCATACCGATATATAAGTTACACTCATACGGCTATATAAGTAAGGCTCATACCGCTATGCCAATTCCTGGCATCGTGTAGTTTCCATACTGGTCTACGATACAGCTGGTCTGATTCTTAAAGCGTTCGATGACAGCGTCATCCCACCATTGTTTTAAATTTCCATCCTTGTCGAACTGTCGGCCTTCGAGACAAAAACAAAATAAACATTTGAAAATACGCTTTTCATAATGTTATCATCACAGATCTTCTTGAGAACGCGCTCCTTATCACAGACTTATTGTTATCTCATTAATGATAATAATCAAAGCTATGACTGAAATCGTTATAATAACTTTAGGTATCATACCCATAATACGTTTGTGACGGTCTATATCAAAAACTTCAACCATACTAAACAATATGCAACTTTCAATTTTAGCAAATAGCCTTAAGATATCTTTAATACATTATCGGTTTCTTAGTTAAGCCTGTTCCCTGTTTATATAGTTAGCTGCTAGATAATGACCACAACGACACTGTACACAAAATATTTAGAGTGTGGGTTTTAACCTCTGTCATCAAATCCGTGTGTTATTTCGTGTCCAATCACCATCCCAATGCCACCATAGTTCAGTGATCTGTAAAAACAACATCGATGTATGTTAAAACTCATCATTCTAATTAGCAGACTAAATAACTAGGTCATCGCGTGTTTTCGTAGCTACGTAACTGATGGGATACAGGTAATAACATATGTTTGAATATATACGACCCTTCATTTATGACCTTTGAAGTCTTTGAAGAATTTGTATACCATTACACACGGCACCACTAACAACATAATCTACATAAATAAATAGTGAGAGGAATGGCAGTGTACAACCTAACACTTTCATTAATACACGTGTGTATTGTTTCAATTCCTAGCATTGTTTAAGAGACGTATTTGATTGTTATTTAACCCGAGATTATAATACTGTTTCTCTGTTCCGTATTTACCACACTCAAAAGAGACAAATGAGATTTAGCAGGGATTTTCACATGAACAAGCCAATGTTGTATTGAGTACACCCTGAACAAATCACATGAACAAGCCAGGTTTCTGTAAAAAAAATCTACCCTGTACAATTCACATGAACTACAATTATGTCTTTATCTTTAATGTAAACATAACGGTTTCTTTCATTATTTTTTATATTCATGGAAGCTTGGCAGTAAATTTGTACTTATTGTTAATTAGTGAGCATAGTTAACGATAGGAGTTTTGTAGTAGTTTCAATTCCCTGGTTTAAACTGTGTCTTTGTGCCTACTTGTATGGAAAGCAAACATTTCAGGTAAAATGAGATTAGTATGTCAGTTTCTTTCTGTCCCTAGTTGTTAATTTAGGTTATAACCGTGTTTCTGAATACAGTGCTTCATGTATTCTTGCCTGTTGTAACACTGTTTTGACCTGTTGTAACACTAGCAGTTCTTGATCAGACATTCTCCAGACAGATGATGAGCATTATGCAAGCAAACAACCATCCCAAACTTCAATGACATATTCTGACCTAGCATCGGTAAAAATGAGTATATCTTTAATAGTGTTTTTCTGTTAAAATGGTATTTCGGTTATCTTAATACAGATAATTTCTTATTAAAAGGTTTTACATCTGGTAGATAGACAGATAGACATTCTTTATTTCCTCTGATAAGAGATTACATGGTTCTGTCGTTTTTAACAATTTCAACAATTTACAGCATGAACACTACATATTTACATAATACTACAGTTTCTTACTGTATTCTTCAAACTATGCTCAAGAGCTGCTCTGGAGAAGTATGTTCATTTCTGTGAACATCCCAGCAAGTTTTTCACTTATAGCAACCATCAGATTGTCCCATTCTCCATCGTCCAAAGAAATATCGGTCCTTCCACCAAGAATGAATGAACATTTTTCGTCTTCCTCTATCATATCGTATTGTACATATTTTTCAACGCTTATAAGATTAACTATTTGTTCCAGCAAGATGTCTCTACTTTTGAATAATGTGGGACCTTGTATAATGAAATGTTTAACGTCATTGTTCCCAACCTTTTTGCACAATTTACACATCACATTTTGGAATTCAGTCCTGTAGGAAAGCTTGATTAATTCACAAATTTTCTATGTGCTTTTAGGAAATTTCAACGTTAGAGACCATAAGGGATTTGGTTCAATATATTGATGAACTGCCCTATAATATAACAGATCGGGACGATTTCTGCACATTTTACACCATACATCATAGTAATAATTTTTTGTGACTTTCTTAATAAACGATTTCCACTGAAACTCTCTACAGCACGCACGAGAGAAAACAAACTCGAAAAAGAATGTCTCGATGTTAAATTTCACCATTGTATGGAAAATGTCTACGATGAAGCTCACGTTTTGAAACGACTGTGAGGTGAACATGAATGTACATAAGCGAATAATAAATAGAGATTTCCAGACAAAAGATAATTTAGCATTACACAGTTTGTTCCAAAGGTACAGTTCACATCCGTATATAACACCTGGTATGATAATTGCTTTCATGAGTTGAACACTTTTTAGAGGATTCATTCCGTCTGGATGGATACCAACACTCATGAGACTGTTAAGGTTCCTGCTACCTTTGTCGCACGCGCTTTCTATACCGACATCAGCTTTTAGGTTTGAACAAAAAGTAATTCCCGCGTAAACCTTTTTATCGGTCCCTTCGATAATCGCGCCTCCCAGAGAACATACAGCTGATGGTTTATTGACGATTTGTCTCTTATATGAAAATTCAATCAGCGAAGATTTAGCAGAGTTATAATGTAGCCTCCAAAGATAAGCATACGCATTTACGATATCTAGTTGAGCTTGGAGATTCGTGATGCTTCCAGCTAAGTCTGTACATCTTATGTAATAGCCCGTCTATCCATACGCTGCTAAATACTTTTGCATTGTCCAAGAAGGCAGCAAATACTTTTGTCCTATTTTCGATATAATGAGATATCGATTCCTTGACAGTGAACGCTGCCATAACACTTCCACATTCCGCTCTAAATCCCTGTTGTAGTCTATGCGGAAACTGCATTTCAGCACATCGAACTGTTAACCTCTGATATATAACTTTTTCGAATAGCTTTTGCAGAACTGGTGTTAACGTGATGTCTCTATAATTGTTTTTATTCAATTTGTCTTTATTGCCACCTTTGAATAATGTTATTACTATACCTTTTGTAAAATGTACTTGGTATTCCTCCTTTGTCAGTATTTGATTGAAGAGTATAACGGTCACGTCCAGCAGACTTTTACCACCGTAACGAATATGTTCGATGACTATATCATCATGTCCTCCCTCTTTACCTTTTTTTCATACTCTTGATCGCTGTCGCAGTTCACTTATTGAAATAGCTCGATCGCACTGACGAACATATCGTGAATATCTAACTGTATCTTAGCCCGATGACTATCATCAAAATTGCTTTGCTCAGAGGGTAGAGCTAACTTACTATAGTGCTCAAACCAAACATTCTTTAGTTCATCTGAATCGCGGATGCTTTTATTGTCAACTTTCAGTTCTGAACATCTGTAACCATTACATTTTCTTGCCCGAACAGCCTTATATAATGCGCCGATATCAACTTCCGCTGCTTCCTGCAGGTGGTTGAGTTGCTGCTGTTCGTATACCTCCCTTGCTTCTGTTAATGCTTTACGAAAGATGGTTTTTGAATCCTTATAATCTTTGTATGATTTATGTTCTGTACCGCGCGGACGTCCCTCAGCTTTCCACACTCTACGATACTGCCTCATTGACGTATGCAGTTCTTTAACACCTCCGAAGTTCTAATATGGTTTTAAGTATTTACGATACTGTTTAACTGGCAATGTAGCTATCGCCGAATCCTTTATCGCGGAAACAATAATCTGTACTAAGCTGTCGAGATCATCTAAAACCTTCGCCTCGCGGAGTTTAGTAGTATTACCGATCATCTGCGCTACTTTGCCGGCATAAGTAACCTTTTGCTCGGCAGACACTTTTCTCCAATTAACGGCCTTTGACGATAATCGATCTATATGCGTGTTCCTTAAAGTACAACAGAATTCTAACGACACAGGTAGATGATCAGATGCATTAAGAAAATGGTCGTCGTGTATTTCGCACGTTTTCACATTATCTATATCATGTGTTCCTATTAAAACGTTGATGTAAATCAGATAGTGCTTGTAACGTTTCTTGGTACAAAGTCATAGATAGATTAGTCGACGGCATCAATATCCCGAAGACATACATAAACGACTTGTCCACCAGTTGTACTGAGACCCCTATTATACGATCATTCCCTTAGTTCATCAAGGGCGATATATTCAGGTATTTCTTTTTCCAAAGAATCGTAATTCCACCAAACTCTCTCGGATGCGTCCTCAGTTCCAACTCTATAGGAATGCTTGAATCACTCCGTCCAAACGAGTCAAAACTACGGTCAATACTGTTCAGAAAATTAAACTGTTCTGGCGGTAACCAATGTTCCGTTATAACAGCAATGTCCGTATCGCGAAGAATCTCGCCTAGTAAATGGGTGCCGTACATTACCCCTCGAGTGTTCCACGTAAGAAGCTTCACGACAAAAAATAGTAAGAACGGGAGCATCAACACAGAGTCAATCACCACGAGTATGGACTGTTGGAACGACTACCGTAGTTATCTTCCCGTTCCCCCCCGCGATTTTTGTACCGATTATCGCCACGATCCTCCAACTCGCGTACAAGAACGCCGTCCGGCCAGAGGTACGGATGGGTTGCCGTTGCGAAATTATCTTCGCAAATATTTATGCGTGCCGTGTAAGTAGGATAGTATGTGTCCCAGAACTTAGAATACGCATCATAGTGACGTATACTCCTCTTTCCGCTGCGTATGTCCTTACAGAGCTCACAACTTCATATGCAGTAGCATCTGCGGTAGTACGCGACATTATGAGCCTTTTGCTTCTAGGTCTACGACGAACACCACGGAATTCGTATTTAGATTTCTCTGCCTCCTCAATAGGTTGTTGATGTTGCGTATTCTGCCAATGAACAGAAGCAATTGATTTCGTGCGTTTATCTCACGTCTCTTTAGGATCAACATGTTCATTACGGCCCTTGCTTTGTGTATTCTGCACCGATTCATCGATCGCAGTGTCTTTATTTCGGTTAGATAATTGCTCTATTATTGGTGCTGTCACTCTACCGTTAAGAACGTCGCCATGCGTGGTGGAGTTTGATGAAACCGACATTTCTGTACGCTTATTACCTGCGGTAACATCTGCGTAGGTACCTTTTGTATTATGTTCGATATTTTGATCAAGTGTAATTTGCACAAATGACACTCTCCGTTCCAATGCATTTAATGTCTTTTTCGGGAAGCCCGCGTATTTCATCGCGTAAGTAATTGTCATATCAGGTGCCGATTTGCGGTGTATATTGAGTTTAACTGTTCCATTATTTCTCCTCTCATTCCGACAACAAGTATTGCTAGATCTGCAAAGTTCTATATTCCGTTGTCTGTTGTAATACAACTCTCTCCCTTCGCGAATTTCTGTATATTGTCACTAACAATTTGCAAGTCTGGCAAAGGTGATTCTACGTCCTCGTCGGATACGCTCGCATTAAGAACACACTCATTACAATGTCTGGTTTAACGTAGTCTACTAGGGCCGATAACTCTGACCTTTTGCCTAGTACAGCAGATTCTGCTTTGCTGGTAGGTCGTAGATAGATTAATCCGGCTCGACGATGATGATGTGCTAGATCTTTTTGATTTCTAGATGTGGATATAGGGCGGTCCCGTTGTCCGGGGCTACTGGTTTTCAACGGACTGAAAGCCGATCCAATGGAATCTATTTTGATGTCTGCTATTGGGTGGTAGTAGTTTGAACAACCGAGTTCGTAGCTATGGAATGTGAAATAGTTGCAGTTAATACTATCACACTTGCAACATAGCCAATTGACGTTTGAACGGTTGAGTATTTCGAAGTCTTTACTACACATATATATGCAGGTTTTGTGAAACCATACGCTGCAGTCATCACATGTTACAACAGCACATGTCCACGTAACAGGATGTTCGCAAATACCACATGGAAAAGTGTTTTTGTTTGTGTCCTTGGGGCATGGATTCGTCTGGACGTCTCCACTCCTAACAATTGCCATAAGAAATATAATGTTGTTGCTTCGCTGGGGTTGTTTTGCAAGTATGGCGTGTAAGGGATGTTTGACTCTGCTGGCAAATATTTGAGTGCAAAATGATGTTTGTAAAAAAGGACAATGGTCGTTAGCGTGATCAACATCTTGTAAACCAGCCGTTTACCTGTGAATTACCACATTAATTATTTGTGTGCTATACCCAAGTGTCAGGTGTTATACCAAAGTGTCAATCAACTAGATTGTGGTGTTTAAATTCTTCTAAAACTCGATTTAACAAAGGAATGTTAAAGTTTTCTTCTCCGGTGTTTGCTTCACGTCTATACTTTTCGCGTATGTGCTCTCTCTTCCTAATTATAATAATACTCCAGAGTGACGGGTAATATGTTTACCCACTTACCCTTTAGTGAATATGTTTACCCACTTACCCTTTAGTGAATATGGAGTCATAAAGATGGCTCTCACAAAGACTAAATAAGCGTGGAAAAATAACTTCAGCATTATGATACATGGAGACAATATAAACAAATGACCTACAGAGAACATACCTGTAACATGGATGCTATTCCAAACTGCTACAGTATTCTTTTGACAACACACTTACTTTGGATATCCCTTGTAGTAAAACGGAGGCTGTAGAATTCCCGCCGGAAACACTGTAACGACACATTAACAACATGTCAGACATTAACCAAGACGATATCAACAACAATATATCAGATGTACGACTCATTCAATATCCAGGCTTGCTTATGGTATTTTTACCCTAAAAATAAGCAACACTGAACAAAATTCTGAACTATTCGAATTGATCTGTTAACATTGACGGATTTAACAGTTAATGCGTGCCGTACATAACATGAATTTAATATAGATAAATATCGATATAGGAAAATAATCTACAGAATGCATATATAAAGATAAACAATTTTAAGCAATGCGGTACACTAGACACTTTGTTTTGCATTTTATCGGCATCTCGAATATGCGCGTGTGTCATGTATTTTCATTGTTTGGATAAAGCAAAAGGTTACAAAAATGTTTGCCATATCAATACATTATACATACGCTTTCCATCGAATATTACCTTTTTTAACAAACTAAAATGTTTAAATAATACGTTTCCGAACTATTATGATATACTTTGCTTATGTGGACATCTTTAGTTGCTCCAGCGAATATTAATGCAAGATACCACGACATTACCCGAATGGATGCCGTATTACTACATTAGATGACGTATTACGTATTACTACATTAGATGACGTATTACTACATTAGATGACGTATTACTACATTAGATGACGTATCACTACATTAGATGACGTATTACTACATTAGATGACGTATTACTACATTAGATGATGTATCACTACATTAGATGACGTATTACTACATTAGATGACGTATCACTACATTAGATGACGTATTACTACATTAGATGACGTATTACTACATTAGATGATGTATCACTACATTAGATGACGTATTACTACATTAGATGACGTATTACTACATTAGATGACGTATTACTACATTAGATGATGTATCACTACATTAGATGACGTATTACTACATTAGATGACGTATTACTACATTAGATGACGTATTACTACATTAGATGACGTATTACTACATTAGATGACGTATTACTACATTAGATGACGTATTACTACATTAGATGACGTATTACTACATTAGATGACGTATTACTACATTAGATGACGTATTACTACATTAGATGACGTATTACTACATTAGATGACGTATTACTACATTAGATGACGTATTACTACATTAGATGACGTATTACTACATTAGATGATGTATCACTACATTAGATGACGTATTACTACATTAGATGATGTATCACTACATTAGATGACGTATTACTACATTAGATGACGTATCACTACATTAGATGATGTATCACTACATTAGATGACGTATTACGTATTACTACATTAGATGACGTATTACTACATTAGATGACGTATTACTACATTAGATGACGTATTACTACATTAGATGACGTATTACTACATTAGATGACGTATTACTACATTAGATGACGTATTACTACATTAGATGACGTATTACTACATTAGATGACGTATTACTACATTAGATGACGTATTACTACATTAGATGACGTATTACTACATTAGATGACGTATTACTACATTAGATGACGTATTACTACATTAGATGATGTATCACTACATTAGATGACGTATTACTACATTAGAAGATGTATCACTACATTAGATGACGTATTACTACATTAGATGACGTATTACTACATTATATGACGTATTACTACATTATATGACGTATTACTACATTAGATGATGTATCACTACATTAGATGACGTATTACTACATTAGAGAAATGATACTCAACATACTGATCTGATTTTTCGTGGAACTGTAAAAAGCGTTGACGATAGCTGGCGTTGTTGACCATCTGCAAAAGAAAGAAATACGACCTAATTTCTGCTACTTTATTGAGTTTTCAGAGGACAAGATTGTGCCATTAGGGCGATTTAACTAGTCAGACGGTAGTGATCTGTTCTTTGGAGAGTCCATTAGTGATATTACAGACAGAGGTAGACTATGGAGAGTCCACAAATTATATTACAGACCAATATTATTCAATTATAGCCTTTGGCTGCGGTCGATAAATGCAGGTATCGACCGAAGTTGAAGGGTATAATTGTTTTATTATTTTCAAAACAGTAAGCAATCTGTAAAAAAAAAACACAACAAAAAAGCTACCAAAGCGGGACGGTGCGTTTGTTTTGAAACGCGTCATAATTCTATTTTTAGAAACACTCAGTCCTTCAACAAAAATCACGCGCTCCAAGTCAATATCGGTTTTTATCGATGGACACGTGATGCACTCCTGGCTAATCACTTGTCGGGAATAATATGAAAAAATAATAATATTCAATTATAGCCTTTGGCTGAGGTCGATACCTGGATTTATCGACCCGAGAAAAGATATATTAACCGATGATATATCTGTAATATCACGTGTGGACTCTCCCTAGAACAGTTTACCTACGTCTGTAATATCACTACTGAGTGAACTCTCCCGAGGGCAGTTTACCTCTGTTTGTAATATATCACTAGTGGACTCTCCCTAGAACAGTTTACCTTTGTCTCTCTAATATCACGTGTGGACTCTCCCGAGAAAAGTTTACCTTTGTCTGTAATATCCCTAGTGGACTCTCCATATAACAGTTTACCTTTGTCTGTAATATATCACTAGTAGACTCTCCCTATATCAGTTTACCTCTGTCTGTAATATCATTAGTGGACTCTCCCTAAAACAGTTTACCTTTGTCTGTATTATATCACTAGTGGACTCTCCCTATAACAGTTTACCTCTGTCTGTAATATCACTGGTGGACTCTCCCTATAACAGATTACCTCTGTTTGTAATATCACTAGTGGACTATCCCTATAACAGTTTACCTTTATCTGTAATATATCACTCGTGGGCTCACCCTAGAACAATTAACCTTTGTCTGTAATACCACTAGAGGACTCTCCCTAGAACAGTTTACCTCTGTCTGTAATATCACTAGTGGACTCTCCCTAGAACAGTTTATCTTTGTCTAATATCACAAGTTGACTCATCCTAGAACAATTTACCTCTGTCTGTGATATCACTAGTGGACTCTCCCTATAACAGTTTATCTTTGTCTGTAAAATATCACTAGTGGACTATCCCTGGAACAGTTTACCTCTGTCTGTAATATTACTAGTGTACTCTCCATATAACAGTTTACCTCTGTCTGTAATATCACTGGTGGACTCTCCCTATAACAGTTTACCTCTGTCTGTAATATCACTAGTGGACTCTCCCTATAACAGTTTACCTCTGTCTGTAATATTACTAGTGTACTCTACATATAACAGATTACCTCTGCCTGTAATATCAATAGTGGACTTTCCCTAGAACTGTTTACCTCTGTCTGTAATAGCACTGGTGGACTCTCCCTATCACAGTTTACCTCTGTTTGTAGTATCACTAGTGGACTCTTCCTACTAGTGGACTCTCCATAAAATAGTTTACCTCTGTCTATAATATTACTAGTGTACTCTACATATAACAGATTACCTCTGCATGTAATATCACTAGTGGACTACCCCTATAACAGTTTATCTTTGTAATATATCACTAGTTGACTTTCCCTAGAACTGTTTACCTCTGTCTGTGATATCACTAGTGGACTTTCCCTAGAACTGTTTACCTCTGTCTGTAATATCACTAGTGGACTCTCCCTAGAACAGTTTACCTTTGTCTTTAATATCACTAGTGGACTCTTCCTACTAGTGGACTCTCCCTAGAACAGTTTATCTTTGTAATATATCACTAGTTGACTTTCCTTAGAACAGTTCTAGGAAGGGTCGACTAGTGATATATTACAGACAGAGGTAAACTGTTATATGGAGAGTCCACTAGTGATATTACAGACAGAGGTAAACTATTTTAGGGAGAGTCCACTACTGATATTACAGGCAGAGGTAAACTGTTCTAGGGAGAGTCCACTAGTGATATTACAGACAGAGGTAAACTGTTCTAGGGAGAGTTCACCAGCGATATATTACAGATAGAGGTAAACTGTTATAGGGAGAGTCCACTAGTGATATAACAGACATAGGCGGTTATAGGGAAATTCCACTAGTGATATTACAGATAAAAGTAAGCTGTTCTAGGATGAGTCAACTTGTGATATTAGACAGACAGAGGTAAACTGATCCAGGATGAGTCAACTTGTGATACTACAGACAATGCAGGCTTTTTTATAAACAATAAACCTGTATAGAGAGAGGAGCCGCTGGTGCTATTATAAACTTAGTACATAAGTATGGCTTTGTAAAGACTCAAACCGCTTACTAAGGTGGTTGATATGATTAAGAACATCACTAAGAAACTAAGAAAACAAGTTAATTTACTTCCTTTTAAGTGAGTTATCCCAGTTTATTTGCTGTTCGGAAGATTACTTTATCATTTGGTACAAGGGAGAATACTCAGTCACAAACATACAAGGGAGGTCACTCTGCTAGATCAGTAAAAGGGAGGTCACTCTGCCAGGTCTTCACATATTGAATTGTGCATTGTTCATATAACGTGCGTATTAAAGAAATATTTGTTAAATTTAACCTGTAAAAGATAACAGTTTAGAATGTAAAAATGGCGATATTGAACGTTGAACTATCATGGATTAGCAGAAGTATGTGAATAATTAAACGTGGTAGGATATTATCCTATCCTATCAGCAACATAACATGATGTCTACTGGACAACAAGGAAAGTCACGATTCGAAATGTTAAAAGAAATAATCCCGAATTCCGGGAATATATGAGGGCGATTCTAGACGAAGCCTAAACGATTCTCTGAAAGTCTAAACACTTCACATTGTCACCGAATCTATCAAAACTTTTGTATACCTGAGTGTTAACCATTGACAACTCTGTGCCCTACTGGGATAAACAACTTGTATTGTCTTATATCCGGATTGTCATGACTATCTGCCCGTGTGATTAGTTTAACCATGCAACTATCATTTCTACAACCCCAGTAGGAATAATAATTACTAGACTTAGGTCAAAAGTAGGGGGCACGTGCGTTGGTGATATCCCCATTGGATCCGCCTCTGGTTGCAGGCACTGACTTTTGGTATGTTTCCCTCGCTGTTTTTCCTTTTGTAGGGGTCTTCCCTGATACAATTACAAAGAGCACGTGAGCTTACCTGGTCTTGTCGACTGGCTCCCTTAGTCTTGCCATATTAGCTAACGCTATGCTTTTAATATTCTCCAGGACATTCTCAAAGTATTTGTCGGAGTGGAAATAAACCTATGAAAGACAAAAATCCAAATTATCAAACTAATAAAGCAAGAGGTATAGTCAACGTGAACACTTTTACATGTAACAAATAGTTTAGTTAAGCGATAGGATAGTGGTATTTGGTGTTTTCAGATTCTATGACATCATATATAATCATCTTAAACTGTCCAGGATGGTCTGTTATTGTACAGACGGTCAGAAAGATCATATAGTTATTGCACGGAAGGTCATAGAGATCAAACAGCTATTGTATGGACGGTCAAACAGATCAAAAAGTTATTGTACAGACGGTCAGAGAGATTAAACAGTTATTGCACGGAAGGTGTAATCGATCATAAGTTATTGCACAGAAGGTCAGATAGACTAAACAGTTTTTGCACGGACTCTGCTGTATCATTGAGGATATAGGACGGGTGTTAGATACTTACATTTCTGTAGTCGTCGTCAAGTGCTGTATCATTGAGGATATAGGACGGGTAACCAATCTTTTCCACGATGGCGTCAGCCTAACCACGAACACAGTGATGATGAGAACACCATTGTTATAAAAATATCACAGCACCACACTAATGTATCGTATCTCAGTGTTCCTAATATTGATCATTTCTAAGAAGAAAAATCCCGATGGACCAAATGTGTAATATATGGCAAACAAATTCTCCTTTTTTCCCCGAAATATTAAGATAGTTAACGTTTAGGGTTTTAGATGTATTTTTTAAAATAAATAATCACGATTCCTCATTGGGTCATTCCGCTTGGCATTTCCTGTTTACTTACTGCAATTCTTTAACTGACGCCAAGTAACAAAAACCTGTTTGGAGAGTATTTTTAACTGACGCCAAGTAACAAAAACCTGTTTGGAGAGTATGTTCACTCATTTCTTCATTTCAACAAATTTCATTGGACAAAAAATTGCACAATAGGATGAGACAACAGGCTTAGCCTATATAAGTCTTCTCCTATCCGGTATAGATTGACAAGAAGCATAAATTTAGTACATAGATCAACAAGACACACTCATATACCCTTACAAACATATAGGATAGAACATTCAATCAAGTTACAAATATAAGAGAGAAAAGAAACATTATATGATGACATTTGAAAACTTATAATATCCTTTCTTAGCAAATCATATATATGTTTGTACACTCAAGTTCAAGTTCAAGTTCAAGTTCTTTATTACTTTAAGTCGGTTGACTTATCAGTCATAACATATATACAAAACAATACAGAGACAACATACAATATGATACACACACACATACACACACACACACACACACACACACACATACACAATTCAACTTTTATTTGACAACTTATTGGATAACTATACTTTACAATAAATTACAAATTACGTATATGTATTGTGCAATCAACACTCATTATCACTCCCACATCATTATTGTGCATTCAACAATCATTAACGCTCTCACATCATCATCATCATCATCATCATCATCACCATCCTCTTCATCATCATCATCATCATCATCATCATCATCATCAGCATCATTAACATCTGACATTAACTACAACAACACTCAGACCACCCTCCATAACACGCATACACCCTCACATACACACATAATAAATATGCATTCACACACACACACACACAAGCCCTTACTCAAAAGCATATTAATTAAATAACTTATAAAAATTATAAAATAAATATATATACAAACCCGAAGAGCCCTGTGAAGGCTGAAAGCAGCTAGTTTGTTAGTCGGTCGTTAATCTTATTTTTTCTATACATATAAATATATATATAAGAGGCAATGAAAACAGTTCTAATTAAATCTGTTAGCAGCAGAAATGTAATGTTGAACTTTAGAGAGAATAGATAAATTATCATCAGTAGAAAGATTAGCATTACTAGATGTAAGAAGATCAACAGATGAATATCCAAAATGATTAGTGATGTCAGTCATGACATGTCTATAGTTAGTATACCTCATTACTCCTTACCTTTTCCTCCGCTACTTTGCGTGTATACTCGTCCATCCACACAACATCATGGAGAAGCTCGTTGAAAGCGATTCTGATGTCGTGTATCATGTCGAGGGCCTTTCGGAAGAATAACAGGTTTGCACATATATACCAGATATTGTTTGGAAATGTTGAAACGATATACTCTATAAAACAAAGACATTTTATTTCTACCTACCCGATCAGTGTATTCAAAGAACTATTTGAAAAGCCTCTAAGCAACCGGTGAAAATGAAATTGCGCATTGATGTTTTAGCTATTAAAGAATGAAGTAAAAGTGCTATGCCAAGTATGTTTGGTTCAGGTACTGGACACTTCAAATCCAATAAATAACTCGAAAGTCTTATTCGATGTACGCATCATTTAACACGAGAACATGGTAAATCTTGAAGGTCACATGCTGACGTCACAATCAAATAGTAAAAATTCTGAAGAGAACTCAGTTTTCGAGATCGTTTTTATAGACGTACATTATATGGGCGTTCTTCAATATTAAACAAGTTGAATGAAATTAAGGCCAGCTTGGATACAATTCAGAGTTATGAGGAGGTTATTCATAACCGCCTATATTGACCCACTAAACTGCATGTGTTTTTAAGGAGCCTTTCATCACCACTATGACGTATCGTGTAACACTGAAACTGCTTCTAAATACAACTGTCACAAACCTAGTACAATGTTGATAAGTAGGTCACGGCGACCTTCTCTATCGGCTTACAGGGTCAACAATAAACTCTGATTTGTGGCCAAAATACACAAAAGGACCTATATAAGTAGTGGTTTTTCACTGGCAATACCTGGAAAATGGATTAACGTTGTAATATCTCATATACTAGTCCACAGACAGCAGCTGTTTATGAACCATTTTATACTTTCCTAAGTTTGTTTGAGGTAACACATTTTGCTACTGATGAATACACCAACAACTAGATATATCTTGTGTAAAATAAAGAAAGAAAGAAAAAAAAGTGACCCCTGCTCCTCCAACGCCATCCATGTGTCTCTAAACAAGGCTAGAAAGTTACTAAATTCGAGTTTGCATTATCATCGTAAGGTCCTTATGTGTAGTTAGAGTATATTGTTGGCGCAATTAAGTCGATATAGGATAAATACACCCTGAAGTACTTTTCAAATTATGAGTTAGTTTTTTGTCAGTTTTATTAAATGCAGCTTTATTGTTCAATACTAAATTCAAAATTAAGCAGAAAGGTTTGAAAAATAACATGAAGCCTTTTATGAATTTTCTTATCCAATTTCCCCCTTACATCTTCAAATGGTCTCCAAGGTGACCTTTACTTAATGTCATGGCATATGGGCATTATCCCAAAGTCTATTTTTGCAAAAAATTAAAACGTGTTGGTGACCGATACCAGAACGCCCAAACTGGCATCCATCTTTCTGGATCGTCGGTACGTATAATGGGGTTAACGTGTAATTATTGGTTAACCACACTGGTCACGTGATAATTCGATTGCCTTTCACGTGACTATTAGCCTACCACGTTCTTGGCCAGTTCGTCGAAGTGTTGCTGTACGAACAGTCGGCCCACTGCATTCCCCATGTTGTCGTTGACGTAGCTAACACAGTCTCGCCATCTGGACCGCTCCACTTCCGATCCGTATATTTGCTAGAATGAAACGTTAACATTTTGCAATACACTGAGCATACCGCCACATATACTGTAAACAAAATCCCCGTGGCTAATTAACAGCAAACAAGAAACAAACTGTACATGATTTCACTCTAGCATTGTGAACTAGGTTTGTTTGTTTGAGGTTTACCGTACTCACAACAGCCAGGGTTATATGGGGACAGGTGCCAAGGGAGACAACAGCCAGGGTTATATAGGGACGGGTGCCAGGGGAGACAACAGCCAGGGTTATATAGGGTCGGGTGCCCAGGGAGACAACAGCCAGGGTTATATAGGGACTGGTGCCAAGGGAGACAACAGCCAGGGTTATATAGGGACGGGTGCCAAGGGAGACAACAGCCAGGGTTATATGAGAAAGGGTGCCTAGGGAGACACCGCCTGAAACAGAAAATAGATAGGAAAGAGGGAAGACAAGTAACACAAGATCCCAAGTGTTGTAATGAGGAGCAACTCAAGTTTTGTCCCTTCCAGTTGTAAAAGACACGGAAAAAACCCTCCGATTCTGCAGGAAGGCACATTAGTCGCCTTTTACGATACACATTCCCCGAACTTGCACGGAATTACTTAACTTAGTGGTCTTTGTCAAGAGTGGCTATATCTATCTTGATTTCACGTTTACAAACTATTTGGTTAAGACAACGAAGATAACCAAAGAATTTCTCTTGTCCAAACTAATAAACTTCTCATTAAATACTCTGGGTAATCATCTGTTCAAGCCACAACGTTTACCAATGAATTTCCTGTAACAATGTGCTATAATCATTATTTCTTTACTATGTGAATGCTTAAAAGACAAAGCTATGCTTGTCAAAATACCTAATTAAAGGTGGCTTAATTAAAAACAAAAGGGGGGGGGGGGGATGTCTGTTAAATGACTAAAGTTAAAGGATCCCCCCACTACTGCTGAAATCTGAAACTAAGTGTTGAAAACTGTGTTCTCTAGAATGGGTATAACCCTGATACATCCGTCGTCATATCACTCTGGCTGTTCCAAGGACGTTAAACCATAAAAAAACCACCCAAAAATCTCTGATTTAATCCGGAACGAAATACGTATAATTTTAAAAATTAGAGAATACTTTGCGGGATTTATATGAAAAATAATAGGATGAAAGAAATAAAATATCAACAAGAGTGTCTATATCATATTATATGTTACCTACCCGACGGTATTCCCTTCTCAAGTCTCTGTATTCTGTGTAATCACTCTATTAGATATTACCTACCCGACGGTATTCCCTTCTCAAGTCTCTGTATTTTGTGTAATCACTCTATTAGATATTACCTACCCGATGGTATTCATTCCGCAGATCTCTGTATTTTGTTAGATATTACCTACCCGATGGTATTCTTTCCGCAGATCTCTGTATTTTGCTGGTAAATTCATCATACGGTTCATCATTATCCTCCATATCAGGTAGTTTGCTAATGTCCTGCAAATAAACCAACACAGAACATAATCTTTACAAATTTAGTGAAGAGACATTTGTTGTAAATAGACCTCAAACTCATTATAAAATTAAAGATTGATGAAGTCGATCCCAGCGAAATACGAATAGTCGAATAAGTCTAGGTCAAAGGTTAAGGCGGCTGTCTAGGAATTTCAATCACTGTAAACATTGGTATCAGCCATAAGATCATGATTTGCACGATCGTTTAAGTGCTGCCCTTTGTTGGTCGACATGTTTTGTTCCCGTTTCCCTCTAGGGCCCTACCCATTTCCTCCAAAGCAAACAACAACCTTAACATTTTTGGAAACCTTCCTGTTTGGATGTTCCATGCTAAATAAAGGTCCAACTTACACGCAATTAAATAGTAATAACGTAATGATCAACACCCTATATTTCATCATCACTGTCTTAACCCTCTGTTTCCTTATCCCTTCGCCAAGGGTGGCTTCATGCTGACTGAGGGAGTAAGGTGAACTCTTATTTCCCCCTTTTGGCTGAGCCCAGGGGCCACATCCCTTTATTTATATAAAGTATATTTCCTATAACAAAGCGAAATCGTTTCTGGATAAGAAGTATTCTAAACAAAAAGTTGACGACGGATGGACGGACGCCAAGACACGCCAAAAGCTTATAGCTAACATGCCACTTCAGGCCAAATGAGATTAAAACTGATGATGTATTGGAATCAAAATCGTGATCACCAAACGATATCTGTGAGTAAATGTAAACAGTTAACCTAATTAGTAAACACATGGTGACACGATGATGTAATAACAGCCGGTCGAGATCACGTCGTTCGTGACAGACTGAGGTTATCCTATGATAGAATATGATAATTGGCACACTCTTCTACGTCTATCCACTTAATGAAGTAGGACATTAATACGTGAAGGAACACATAATTAGAGTAATTAGATTGCGTAACGGAATCAATAATTGTCAGCGTGCTGGTTAAATGCATGATATATCACTGTCCTTAGTAACATGTTTAAGCCCACGAGTTCACAGCCTCTGTCTGAACACTGTATACCGATAGTGACATGTTTTAACCCACGTGTTCGCAGCCTCTGTCTGAACACTGTATACCGATAATTACATGTTTTAACGCACGGGTTCACAGCCTCTGTCTGAAAACTGTATACCGATAGTAACAGTTTTTAACCCACGTGTTCGCAGCCTCTGTCTGAACTCGTGGGTTTAAACAGACAGAGGCTGTGAATTCGTGGGTTTAAACATGTCACTATTGTATACAGTGTTCAGACAAAGGCTCTGAACTCGTGGGCTTAAACATGTTATCGGTATACAGTGTTCAATTCATTAATGACAATGATCATTCCGTCAGTACGATCATTGTCATTAATGTATTGTGTCGTCATAACGTCAGTACGATCATTGTCATTAATACTGTATACCGATAGTTGCATGTTTAAACCCACAAGCTCACAGCCTCTGTCTGAGCACTGTATACCGATAGTGACATGTTTAAACCCAAAAGTTCACAGCCTCTGTCTTAACACTGTATTCCAATAGTAACATGTTTTAACCCACGTGTTCACAGCCTCTGTTTGAACACTGTATTGTCTGAACACTGTATACCGATAACATGTTTAAGCCCACGAGTCCACAGCCTCTGTCTGAACAATGTAAACCGATAGTTACATGTTTACACCCACGAGTTCACAGCCACTGTCTGAACACTGTATACCAATAATAACATGTTTAAACGAACGTGTTCACAGCTTCTGTCTGAACACTGCATACCAATAGTAACATGATTAAACAGACAGAAGCTGGGAACTCGTGCGTTAAAACATGTAACTATTGGTATACAGTGTTCAGAGAGAGGCTGTTAACTCCAGGGTTTAAAGATGTTGCTATTGGTATAAATCGTTCAGACACAGGCTGGGCACTCGGGCGTTTAAACATGTTACTATTGGTATACAGTATTCAGACAGAGGCTATGAACTTGTGGGATTAAACATGTTACTATTGGTATACAGTATTCAGACAGAGTCTGTAAACTCGTGGGTTTAAAAATGTAACTATCGGTATACAGAGTTCAGACCGAGGCTGTGAACCCGTGCGTTACAACATGTAATTATCGGTATACGGGTTTAAACATGTCACTATTGGCATACAGTGTTCAGACAGTGGCTGTGAACCCGTGCGTTAAAACATGAAATTATCGGTATACAGTGTTCAATTCATTAATGACAATGATCATTCCGTCAGTACGATCATTGTCATTAATGTATTGTTTCGTCATACCGTCAGTACGATAATTGTCATTGATGTATTGTGTCGTCATACCGTCAGTACGATAATTGTCATTGATGTATTGTGTCGTCATAACGTCAGTACGATCATTGTCATTAATGAATTGTGTCGTCATACCGTCAGTACGATCATTGTCATTAATGAATTGTGTCGTCATACCGTCATCATATGATCATTGTGCTTCTGTCTGTTTAAACCCACGAGCTCACAGCCTCTATCTGAACACTGTATACCGATAACATGTTTAAGCCCACGAGTTCACAGCCTCTGTATGAACACTGTATACCGACAGTTACATGTTTAAACGCACGTGTTCACAGACTCTGTCTGAGCACTGTATACCGATAGGAACATGTTTAAACCCACAAATTCACAGCCTCTGTCTGTTTAAACCCACGAGTTCACAGCCTCTGTCTGAACACTGTATACCGATATTTACATGTTTAAACCCACGAGTTCACAGACTCTGTCTGAACACTGTATACCGATAGTTACATGTTTAAACCCACGAGTTCGCAGACTCTGTCTGAACACTGAATACCAATAGTGACATGTTTAAGCCCACGAGATCACAGCCTCTGTCTGAACACTGTGTACCGGTAGTAACATGTTTTAACCCACGTGTTGAGAGCCTCTGTCTGAACACTGTATACCAATAGTAACATGTTTAAACACACGAGCTCACAGCCTCTGTCTGAACACTGAATACCGATAGTAACATGTTTTAACCCACGTGTTGAGAGCCTCTGTCTGAACACTGTATACTAATAGTAGCATGTTTAAACGCACGAGTTGACAGCCTCTGTCTGAACACTGTATACTAATAGTAACATGTTTTCACAGCCTCTGTCTGAAAACTGTATACCAATAGTAACATGTTTAAACCCAGGAGTTCACAGCCTCTGTCTGAACACTATATTCCAATAGTAACATGTTTAAACCCACAAGTTCACAGCCTCTGTCTGAACACTATATACCAATAGTAACACGTTTAAACCCACGAGTTCACAGCCTCCGTCTGAACACTGTATACCGATAGCAACATGTTTTAACCCACGTGTTCGCAGACTCTGTCTGTACACTGTATACCAATAGTGACATGGTTTGACCCACGAGTTCGCAGCCTCTGTCTGAACGCTGTATACCGATAGTTACATGTTTACACCCACGAGTTCACAGCCTCTGTCTGTTTAAACCCACGAGTTCACAGACTCTGTCTGAACACTGTATACTAATAGTAATATGTTTTAACAGCCTCTGTCTGAAAACTGTATACCGATAGTTACACGTTTTAACCCACGTGTTCGCAGACTCTGTCTGAACACTGTATACCGTAACATGTTTAAACCCACGAGTTGACAGCCTCTGTCTGAACACTGTATTCCAATAGTAACATGTTTAAACTCACGAGTTCGCAGCCTCTGTCTGAACACTGTATTCCAATAGTAACATGTTTAAACCCACGCGTTCACAGCCTCTGTCTGAACACTATATACCAATAGTAACATGTTTAAACCCAGGAGTTCACAGCCTCTGTCTGAACACTCCAATAGTAACATGTTTAAACCCACAAGTTCACAGCCTCTGTCTGAACACTATATACCAATAGTAACACGTTTAAACCCACGAGTTCACAGCCTCCGTCTGAACACTGTATACCGATAGTTACATGTTTAAACCCACGAGTTTACAGACTCTGTCTGAACACTGTATACCTATAGTGACATGTTTAAGCCCACGAGTTCACATCCTCTGTCTGAACACTGTATACCTATAGTGACATGTTTAAGCCCACGAGTTCACAGCCTCTGTCTGTTTAAACCCACGAGTTCTCAGCGTCTGTCTGAACACTGTATACCGATAATTACATGTTTTAACGCACGGGTTCACAGCCTCTGTCTGAAAACTGTATCCCGATAGTAACATGTTTTAACGCACGAGTTCAAAGCCTCTGTCTGAACACTGTATACAATAGTGACATGTTTAAACCCACGAGTTCACGGCCTCTGTCTGAACACTGTATACTAATAGTGACATGTTTAAGCCCACGAGATCACAGCCTCTGTCTGAACACTATATACCAATAGTAACACGTTTAAACCCACGAGTTCACAGCCTCTGCCTGAACACTGTATACCAATAGTAACATGATTAAACGCACGAGATTACAGCCTCTGTCTGAACACTGTATACCGATAGTAACATGTTTTAACCCACGTGTTCACAGCCTCTGTCTGAACACTGTATACTAATAGTAACATGTTTAAACGCACGAGTTGACAGCCTCTGTCTGAACACTGTATACCAATAGTAACACGTTTAAACCCACGAGTTCACAGCCTCTGTCTGAACACTGTATACCGATAGCAACATGTTTATACCCACGAGTTTACAGCCTATGTCTGAACACTGTATACCAATAGTAACATGTTTAAACCCACGAGCTCACAGCCTCTGTCTGAACACTCCAATAGTAACATGTTTAAACCTACGAGTTCACAGCCTCTGTCTGAACACTGTATACGAATAGTAACATGTTTAAACCCACGAGTTCACAGCCTCTGTCTGAACACTGTATACCAATAGTAACATGTTTAAACCCACGAGCTCACAGCCTCTGTCTGAACACTGTATACATATTGTACCAAATGTAGTCAGTTAAATACTGTCTAAGTAATCCTTTAACACTAGTATTCACAGAAACAAGAGTACTGCTATATTTGTGAAAAACGTCTTAACGATGGGTCATAATGCCTATTTTTGTTTTCATCATACCGTCAGTACGCTCATTGTTATTAATGTATTGTGTCGTCACACCGTCAGTACGACCATTGTCATTACTGTAATGTGTCGTCATACCGTTTAATAAGTTGTGTAGTCATAACGTCTGTACGATCATTGTTATTAATGAATTGGGTCGTCATAACGTCAGAACGATCATTGTCATTAATGTATTGTGTCGTCACACCCCCCCTACGACCATTGTCATTACTGTAATGTGTCGTCATACCGTTTAATAACTTGTGTAGTCATAACGTCAGTACGATCATTGCCATTAATCTATTGTGTCGTCATATCGTCAGTACGATCAGTTCATTTATTGTATTGTGTCGTCACCCCGTCAGTACGATCATTGTCATAAATGTATTGTGTCATCATACCGTCAGTACGATCATTGTCATTAATGTATTGTGTCGTCACACCGTCAGTACGACCATTGTCATTAATGTAATGTGTCGTCATACCGTTTAATAAGTTGTGTAGTCATAACGTCAGTACGATCATTGTTATTAATGAATTGTGTCGTCATAACGTCAGAACGATCATTGTCATTAATGTATTGTTTCGTCATACCGTCAGTACGATCATTGTCATTAATGTATTGTTTCGTCATA